ATAGATAGATAGATAGATAGATAGATAGATAGATAGATAGATAGATAGATAGATACGATATGATACAAACTTTGATTTAACTGAAGGCATGGCAAGACGACAAGTAATCTGACAGGAAGGATGGGATGGACAGACAGGCAAATGAAGGAATACTAGGTTGAATTGACAAAACCATAAGGCAGTAAAAAACACAAAACAAACTCCCACTTTTCAAACCCCCCCCCCCCCCCCTCTCTCTCTCTCTCTCTCTCTCTCTCTCTCTCTCTCTCTCTCTCTCTCTCTCTCTCCTTTTCCTCTCACCTCCCTCCCTCTCTCATTCCCCCCGTTGTTCGATCGCTCGTTTCCAAGATCGTCTTTTATGAACTTTTTCTACCCACAAGACTCTAAAGATGCACATAGATCTACTTGTAAGTTATTATCAGAGCAGCCGTTGCCAAATTACGTTCTCTCTTTCTCGCAGACTGATTTGAATTTCTCCTCATCACCCAGACTCATGTTTAAGCAAGTGTGTTCTGATCAGCTGTAAATGATACTTTAAGTTTTTATGTCTCTTTTTTTACGTACTCACAAGGGCAAAGGATGTGAGTTCGATTCTCGAGTAGGGAAGACTTTTTTATATAGAGTATTGCTGTCTTCTTGTTGAGATGCTGTACTCCACTCGCACTATCGGTGGTGTCGAGGCAGCCTGCCTTCAAAATTATCTAAATCGTGCTTATTGGGGGTGGGGGGGACAAACTATTTTTTTTATCAGTACACTAAATTAGCAACTTCCCAAGTAGACATAATCAAGAAAACGCTGCAATCATCATTTTCACCACCACCCCCTCCCTCTCCTCTCTAATCCTGCCCTCCATCTCCTTTCTTGGGCTCATATTACTTTCAAGAGTCTCGCTTTTGAATGCATTATGGGCAGCCCATAAATGAATAATTCACAAGGAAGTCAATCTTGTCCGCGGCACAGACAGACAGACAGCGGCCCAGGACCACTGCGCTCTTCTGTGGGAACATTTGTCACTTGTCTACACAGCCAGGGTGGTTAGAAGTTTTGTCGGCTTTCTCCGTCTTTCTGCTGGAATGTTGTATCCCTTCTGTTGTATCCCTTCTGCTGGGATGTTGTATCCCTTCTGCTGGGATGTTGTATCCCTTCTGTTGGGATGTTGTATCCCTTCTGTTGGGATGTTGTATCCCTTCTGCTGGGATGTTGTATTTGTTATATCCCTTCTGTTGGGATGTTGTATCCCTTCTGCTGGGATGCTGTATCCCTTTTGTCTTAAATTCATACCACAGGACTGACTTTACATTTGAATTGAAAATCCCCCAGCTTTCTTCGAAGTGGGATATCCCTGGTCTTCCAAATCCTATTAAAAATATGAAAGCACCCTTCCAATGTGGAACTTTATTTCAGCCCTATTTCTTCCTTCTCTGTCAATTATACTCCCTTGTATCCATTCTGATGGGATGTTGTATCCCTTCTGCTGCGTGTGTGCGTGCGTGCGTGTGTGTGTGTGTGTGTGTGTGTGTGTGTGTGTGTGTGTGTGTGTGTGTGTGA